GTTTGCACTGCTCACAATTGTTTGAACAACAATAACAACATACACATTTCATGCTGTGTTTAGGAAACTAATTACGGAACCTCGGTCGTTCCGGTAAAAGGCAGGGACAACTTTAGCTATTCATAGCCTTCCTCTTCTGAGCTTACAGCAATGAACTGGCAGTCCCGAGGGAGGCTGTGCAATCTGAGATAGGTCTAATGCTTCCCACCACAGTACCAGGACTGTACAGCAAAGACGGGGAGAAGCCTTACAAAGGGACCAGTGACTTTTTCTTCAAGGTCAAAGCAATTGATTTTCCCTGAGGAGGATAAAGTATGTGAGCCTCCCCAAAATATCTCATCTCGTATGTAGTGCATCAAGGAGATTTGAGACTCTGGTCTGCATAGTTGATTCTTAATTTGTCACAGTTAAGATTAGCTAGAGACCTTATGTGGGCATTTAAACATTCCATTGGCACATTTTAAAAGATACATTAGCTAAGATTATGTTCAATTCAACAGACAAAAATAAACTCCTCACTAATATGTGTGACCAGTAGTGAACCTCTGACCTTTTTTGCCTGATAGTGAACTACCAAATGCAACTAGTGTATAAATCATCTGAATAAAAGCTTCTGCCCAGAAAAATAGTTGTTTTAACCATTAAGAATTCAACTGTAACAATAGAACACCAGTTTTGGCCCCTTTTTATATTTATTCTGGATTAATTTGACCATCATATGGGCTTTAATTATGATGTACAAGAGTTATGTGACAGGAAGTCCATGTGTGTTCAACTACAGTGATGTTTTAACTGCCTTTTAATACGCTGTTGTTGAAATGCTTTTTATGTCTTGCAGATTTATTTAGTTGGTGTTGCTAAACATAAATGTAATTGCTAAATAATAATAAGTTGTTTAATCTATGTCTAAATCTAAATTGGTGCCCTTGCAGTTTCACATGTATTGGTGGAAGGGATTGATACTAAAAAGCCATAAAGCAGCAGTAGGGATTACTTTTAAAAATAACTTTTTGTCATATTTGCAAAAACTGTCACTATGTTCTGACAGTAAGATCCTCTGGTTCCTCCTATTGCTCCTAATGCCATTTGCAAGAATCCACTGTTCCTGAGTCAAAACAACCAATCAGAGCCAGGAGGTGTCTATAATGCGGGGGCCAATCACTGCTCATGCAAACAATGCGCAGCTCCCCTCCTCGTGCATGCTCTCACTCAGTCAAGTTCAGTATCTTCATAAGTGCACGACTTCAGAGGTTTTGCAAACACAATGGCCGAGAAACGACTACCAGCAATGAAAGAACTGTCCATCCCTCCTTGCCATCAACAGTGTATAGTGTAAAACCTGTGTGTGACCGGGGTCTAAGTGAGATTCTTGCCGTGGTGAGTGTGTCCTATGAGGGATGAGGTTTTGCAGGCCAACTGGCTCCTTCTGCTGCCGTAGGAACATGTGGGTTTGGTGGGTGGGGCTTTGCAGAGTGCAGCAGAGAGATGCAGAAGGTTTTGCATCTTCTGTTCACTTGTTACCGACTGCTGCTTTGAGGATGGAACTGCTTTGCATGCTACCTACTCAGCCCACTACCACTTGGACCTGACAGATCCATGAGTCACACATCCCACTTACCTTTATTCACAAAAGCCTTTCTTGCCACTTAAATGTTGAGTCAGTGGAATAAAATGTGTATGTAAGTTGATTCACTTTTGAGTACTATAAATTGTGTGTTTCAGCGTGTTTCTTGGTTTCAGAATTCGTAGATACACATATTACTAAAAGACTAAAGCAAAGATGATACAATGCTACAAGATACAAGAGTTGTCTCCGAACTTTTGAATTTTTTACCTTCTAAAAGCCAGTTGTTCAGAAAAATCACAGACATCTGCAAGTGAATGTTTGGCACCTGCACTGTGAAACGATGGAAACATGACGTGATAATTATCGCAATATAATTTTCCTCAATAACAATATACTAAATGTTAAATATATCGTCAGTAAATATTTGCTTTAGTTCATTTGAATCACGGACAAATTAGCACTTAATTTTTTTTTTTTTTTATATTTATTTTGTTGAGAAAAAGAGGCCTGAAATTTTTTTTTCAAAGATGTTATTATGCTCATTTTCAGGTTCAAACTCCTGTTTAGGAGATACCAGAACAGGTTTACATAGTTTAATTTTCAAAAAACACCATATTTCATACTGCACATTGCTGCAGCTCCTCTTTTCACCCTGTGTTGAAGGCTTCGTTTTAGCTATGGAGTGATACATCTTGTCTCTAAATGATCTTTTGTTGGGAGTTGCACACACGCAGTTCTTAGTTAAAGACTACTAGCCAATCAGAAACAGAGAAGGGCGGGTATGACAAAAGATGGTAAACAGTTTTGATTCAGCTGTAGGCTACATGGACTGGAGCAAGAGTTTCAGAGTGGTGAGTTATTAATCTGTAACAAAAGTATTTTTCATCCATAAAGTTTTAACTGAGCTCTGTCTCTACATCACAGTAACAACTTCATGGCCGCTGGAGGGTAGCTAGTGTTTGGAAGGGAGATGAGAGGTGTGTGCTGCAGCTCAGTGTTTTTTTCATTGGTGTTCTTAAGGGGTGTGTCGGACTAGTCACTTGGCGAGCGTTATATGAGGCGCATTTAGCTTTCTTCCCTGTGACGTCACAAGGATGAAAGGGAAGCGGCTGAACTACAAACGAGCTGTTTTCAGGCAGTTCAGAGCAGAGTTTTCTGTGGGAGATTGGAACTCCCTTTGGGGTGGACTTTGGGCTCTTTCACTTTGCACAAAAAAGGTATATAACTCAATAAAGGAGAGGGGAAAAGCCAAAAAGCATAATACCACCTCTTTAACTAATCATATTTGTTGAAAACAGATTTTATCATAACAGTTTTGAATGTTCCACCTCAGATTTGTGAAGTGATCCACTGTTTGGCATCAAGTTCATTCTGACCATAAAGAAAAGTTTAACCACACAATTAACCATCTGGTTTCTTCAATTTTCACTTGAAAAAATCAGCCTTTAAAGTGGAAAGAAATGATTTGACATATATCTTGATAATAATCGATACCAAATCACAATAAATCGAGTATCGATAAAACAAATTTTACAGATTGTTAACACAGTGCAGAGTAAAAGTTTGGTGTTTGAACATCTCCACTCACAGTTAAGACGTTATGTATATAAGAGTTGTAATCACACAGTAATCTGAGTTTATGTATCTGATTTGCTATTTGGAGTGAAAAGCACAATCAGCGAATCCCTAGTTGTTGAATGTAACAGTGGGGTCAAATCTTCTCAACTGGCATGGCTGATGTTCAGACTGCACTTTCCTCACCCGTTGGCTATGGCAGAGGTCACTAATAGGCGGACCGCGGTCCCGATACAGACCCAGCCGCTGTCCTCTCCGGTCCCATTAGTATTGAGAATTACTACATCGTGACACAGCGTTTCTTTTTTTAACCCGCGCAGCTTTTCTAGTATTTGCTGTACTGGTTTAGCGGCCCAGGAAACTCACAGACCAATCGCATGTGCTCCAGTTGTCTCATGTGATGCTGCTCAGCCATTCAAATCTGTGCATTCCGATAAGCATTGCGAGTCTGCGAGTGAGATACACCGGAGACGTTTTGGAAACACACAGGGAGAGAGGAGGCGAAAGAGAAAAGAGATTTCACATGGCTTTTAATTAAGAATGTACAGATTCTTACATATACATTCTTCCCACGGGCTGTTCAAAACCAGAATACCTCTTATACCTCACATTTCTCACTGAACAAGAAAAAGTAGGAAAGTGGTAGCTCTATAAGAGGGAATGAAAGAGAAGGCATTACAACTGTTCATTTGTTAAGATGTGTTGAGTTTTTATTATAAAATTGGTTAAGACTACACTTCATAACTTTTTATTTATTTTTTTCTGAAATTAAGCATTTTATTTTACTTAAATTTAGAATATATTATAAGAGTAGTTATTATTTATTATCCCTCCTATTATCCCTCCAGTTTGATATGAAAACTGAATATTGTTGAAATATTGTCAGTTGTTGACTAAAAACATATGTTAATACAACTATATGTTATGGCACTGAATGATAACGCAACTAAGTCGTTAGGATGTTCTGGACCTTTGCTTCGGGAAATTTTCTCTAACTGGACCTCTTCGAATTCTAATTGAATACCCCAGGTCTATGGTTTGACTACATAGGAATGTGTTGCTGCATCATATTGTGCAGTCAGGTGCATGGAAATGTGAGGACATATGGACTGAAAGAAAGTTCAGCTCAAGAGAGTTGATGCTTTGATGGTGATAGATTAGCGCTATTGCTTTGAGTTGTCTGCCCTGCTGTGTCTGTGACACAGCGTCGAAAGGGAAAATCTGTCTCATTGTAGATAAAGCTCTGGTGTCTGTCTTTCAGTTCTACATATAGTTCGAGACATTTCAGAAGCAAGCGTTGTGACTTGTGTATTTAATCAGTAGGTTTGCCATCATAAACTGGTGAATGCATAGCAGCAACACAGCGGATTTAGAAGATAAACATGTCTTTCGTTTTTCCGACCTTGTAGACTACATAAATCTTATAGACAATTGTTGAACTCGCTTCTGGTACATTTAAGCCATGTTTTGCTTTTGTATTTGACAGATTGGACTTTTGTTTATTGGCTTTGTTGGATGCTGGAACACTAGTAGCTCTCAAGGCTGCCCATCCAACGCTGTGTGATCTGAAGCCAAACACAATCACTCCCACCTTTTTTCCTTGTCTGCTGCTGAGCAGCAGTAATGTTGCTCCAAGAGCAATGTTTAATTCAGGGGCAAGAATAGAAAATGAAGAAGCATTTTCGCACTTTTGTAGGAAAGAAAGCAATTAAGGATGCATTTTTTTGTGTATGTAATGATATCCAGTAATTCTTTCTCTTTAGCAGTTTGATTTATGCTTTTTAATGTGGACAGAAAAAAAACAATTATCATATGTTGATCATCTGTCTCTTATGTCCTTTTTTGTGTGTCACTGCAGAATGTCAAGCCCTTCTCCTCCTCAGACAGCCTAGCGAAGGTTCAGGAGGTAGCAAGCTGGCTTTTGGAAATGAACCAGGATCTGCTGTCGGGGGGCAGCAGCAGCAGGCGGAGTCGGGGGCCGGGGGGTCCGGCAGTGCGAGGTAACGCCTCCTCCACGGCCCGGGCACCTCAGCAGGCGGCAGAGGAGGGGGATGAGGATGAGCACATGAACCGGGTAGTAGAGGAGGAAGAGAGAAGAGTAAGGCCAACAGACATTCAACAAATTTTATTATAGGCACATGGAAGTGTTTGAAATATAGTATATAAGATGTATTGGATCAGATCAAGTCAAATAATTGTGGAAATTTGCTGTAGACCTGCGCTGTGCCAAGAAACTTTTAGGAAAGTAAGCTGTGCAGATAAAAGCGCAACAGATGGAAATTTTCATCATAATTTTTTTTGTGCAACCTTTTGAGGCGTCGCAGGTTGATGGAGAGAGAGAACAACCATGGGCGGCGAGTGAATCGGGAGCCAGCAACGGCCCTCGGGGAGAGGAGGAAGGGGAGGAAGACGAAGAGGGCCCTCCAAATGAAGTGAACGGAGGAGAGAAAGGAGCACGATGGGTGTGGGGGCCAGAGCAGAGGCGGCAGCGAGGCGAGGAGGAGGAGGAGGAGGATGAGGGAGAGGAGGAGAACAACAACAGCAGCAGTCATCAAGAGGAGGAGGAGGCGGAGGAGAGGACAGAGGGAGGGGAGGAGCAGGGAAGGGAGGAAGAGGAGAGGGAAGAGGGCGAGGAGGAAGAGGAGGAAGATGAGGACGAGGAAGAGATGGACCAAGACAGTGATGACTTTGAACATTCTGCAGATAGTGGGAGAGAGGAGGAAGAGGAGGAGGAGGAGGATGAGGAAGGGCTGCGGTCTCCCTCTCTCAGGAACAATGTGTCTGCCCCCAATAACAACCTGGACTCCAGTTGTACACACCAAAGCTCTTCCAACAAGAAGGTAAGCACAGCTGTTGTTTGTTGAGCTGTTTTCATTGGAACTACTGTGCCTTCTGAAGAAATAGTCCATATGTAAACACTTGACAGTGAGTTTCTGAGTTAACAGGGACTCTGGTTTCTGAATGAGAGTTTGCTGTTGAGGTTTAAAAATGTTGTTTTCAATACTATGGCCACTACAAACAAAATTGCTTTCACCTCATTTGCATTAGAGTAAAGGCAGATATTTAAGAGCCCCATGCCCAATACAACATGGCTAGATCCCCGCTAGACTTAAGACAGAAAATATGTAATTTAGGTGAACTGACCCTTTAGGGGGACTTCTGCAGCAGGCATAGGAGTTTCATCAGAAGTTGCCCACAGGCAGTGTTTGGTGATTATCACATTATTGCTGTGAGAACAATGTACTGCAATGTTAGAACATTGTTTATATTTAAAACAACAGCTCCCTCTCTTGGCATAAATATGTTACTGCACTGCACAGTCCCGCAGTGACCCGTTAACAGGCATTGACCAAATCTTCCTAGTGGAAGGATTAGGATATTAAAACAACATTATATATTTGACAAAGCACATACAGACAAATAGGTCAGCAGAGAAGATATCACTGCAGCTGAGAATTAAACAAAGACCTGGAGTGAGGAGCGCTTCAGAGTGGGAGGGGTGAAAGACATATATGTAGTTTTCTTTCTGCTCTGTCACATTTCCACTTGGTCATGTGACATTTGTTGCTGCTCTTCCCGTCTTGTCCTGATCCTATCACATTCTTTTCCAATCTTTTTGATCGCTCCTGAGTGAATGTTGAGGATTACAGGAACTTCAAAATCCTGGTTAAGTGAGTGCAAGAGGCAGAGTTTGTTAAAGTGATGCGTTAATGTATGGACACTCCCCATCTGAAGGCGACTGAAAACATGACGAATGTAGCCCCCCAACTTCTAAACAGTGGTCACCTATATCTTTTTATGGAATGTGTTTGTCCTGTTGGGGGTTGGTCTCTTCCACGGTGACAGTGCCCCCATCCACAGGTCGTTACAAAATGGTATGTAAATCATATGCTATGATCTTCACAGTTACCAGATTTCAACCAAACTGAACTTCTATGGAGATGATGGACTGATCATGCTCCACCCCCAACATCAAACTAGAAGGGAATATCTTTTGGAAGAATAGTGTCAGCCTTAGCCCCATCCGTCTGCTGCGTGATAAAAACAGTTCTCAAGTTGCAGCTCTGTTCTGTGATCTAAATAAAGCTGGTCGCCGGTGGTTACCTGGAAAGGAAGCATATTTGCAACTTAAAACTTCAGATGGTTCACCCAGATGGTTAGAAGGAGTCTTTGAGCATCCTGGAAGTGCCTCCAAATCAATGGAAAGTGTTGTTAAATGACCTTCTGGGTTTTTCCAGCATCAACATGAGTATTTGCATTTCAGGGATACTGATGCTTTCAACTGTGAGTCAAATATAACACTGAGGCTAGTAGAATCCATCCCAAGTAGACTTGAGGCTGTCAAGGCAGCTCAGTGTGGTCACTGGACGTGAAGATAAGAGCTGAAACATATCACAACATTTTGAATGGAAAAATCATATATAGCACGTCACACTGCTTTCATCAGTGCCAAAACTCAAGCAAATGCACAGAAGAGGCACCGGATAAATCCTGAATTACAACAATGATCACCAGTGTCAATTAAGCAGCCGCACTGCATAGTTACAACTGCAAAATGCCTGGATAAACCAATTAACAATGATCACAATCACAAGTAAAAAATGCATAGTCTTTCTTTGCATCTTGTTTCACCAATTTAATCACACGCTGAATTCCAGCGCCATTTAGTTTGTGCAAATTTTGACAGAGGAGTAACAGCACAGTATGAAATAATTATAGCTTAACAGTCTCGCTGTAAATACTTCATTCATGTGTAGAGTGTAGAGATGCCTGTTTGAGGACACGTTAGAACTCCAAGCACGTTCATGCCTCACTATTTAATCGCTGAGTGAAACGGAGTAGATCTTGGTGTTCAGGAGACACGTGTAAGATGTGTCAGATCTTTCCTCAGCGACAGAACTAATCTGCTCGGTTCAGAAGGCTTACGACTGTTAGAGAGGTCTTCACAACACCTGTATTTAAAGGAGGAGAGTGCAGCAAGATGCTATCTAGAAGCTAGGGATGACATTCATAATTTTCAGTGTGTTGGCAGCACACTGACATAGATTTTGACAAGAGCAAACAAATAAAATAAAGGCCTGACATACCTTAATATTGGCTGATGACTCATTTGTCATATCTGTATATATGAAACCCCAAAAAATGATTACGACAATCCTTCGTGACCTTTAAAGACTAACTACCCGTGCAATTGTGCATGTGTCATTGTCATTCTCTTGCTAAATCTGTATTTGCACCCCCTTAATCAAGTATTTCTCCCGTTTTAGTTTTGACCTTTATCCACATTATAGTTTTTTGTTTCCAAAGTAATACTATTGGCATAAATTTGTATTATGTGTAATTTAACAATGCTCAAAAGAAAAATGTTTTATACTATCATGTTGTACATTCTCCTTAATGCACCAGAGATAATACACGCATCTCAATAGACAGTAGTGACTAAAGCCGTGACAGATTTATCATCAGCACTGTGGTCTCATGATCAGTATGCTGCTCCTTCTGACAACAGTTTATTGCTGTTGAAGAACTTGTGCCTCCGTTTCCTGTATTATGTCATACCTGTGGTCTCAATAAAGAGCGACATGACAACTGCATGTCATATTATGTGGGTCTGAGCCTTTGATGGAAATGTTACCCTTGCTTTTATTGGCATCAGTGTAGCAGTTAGTCTCTATCTGACACAGCTGTCAGATAGGTTTGTCAGACTCTTAGTCACTGTAGTGGGACAGCTGGCTTTGATGTTGAACATATACATTTTTTTTAGCTGTAGGTCTCGTATGCTTGGAATTAGGAATGGTGTAGAAAGAGCAGATCGACATTTAGCTTTAGCCCAGGTAAGAAATGTAAAACTCTGTAAATAGATTTTACATTTCATTGTTGCAAAAGTCAGATGTATTTATTATTTATGTACTGTAGCTGTCTTTGGGAGGGTTGTTGTGTTCTGATTGGTTAGAAAACTAAAATAACTTAGGAAACATCACTTTATGCTTTTATTTTTGTTAGATCTGTCCCTTGATTTCTGTGTGTGCAAATGAATTAAGACCTTTGAGGCTTCCAAAAAGCATAGGTTTTCAAAGTGCTGTACAGAATAGAAACAGAAAATAGGGATTGGTGAAAAGGTACTCGACTAATAATAATAAAACAGTTGTATGTAATGTGAAAGTGGCCAGATCAGCTTAGATTTGAAAAAATATTCTGCCATTGTGAAATAACTGTATTCCAAATTTTAAGGTCTGCAAATGTACTATGTGTCCTATAGTTTTGAGTAGTGAGACAGCAGGGCTGCAACTAATGATTATTTTCATTACTGATAATTTCCTGGATTAATTAGAAAAAAGTGTTTTGTTTCATTCAACCAAAACCTAATGATATATTTAGATTACAATCATATCCAGCAGAGAAAAGCAGAAAATCCTAACAAATGATTAACTGAAACTAGGTCATATTCTTCATTTTTGCTTTATAAGCGAATTCAGTGAGGTCTAATTTGTGTCAGTTTTGGAGTCCTTGATGTAAAAAAGTTTGAGACCACTGATATAAATAACCAAATCAATTAATTTGTGCCTTTTATCCGTACTTCGATTTGTTACTCAGAATTACCAGTAGCTGCTTTCAATTAATGAGCTGCTCATTAGTGTGCAAATTAGTGTATGATGATAATCCTATCATCATACACTAATTTAAACATGTGTTCCCGGATTCCAGGTGCTGTTGACTCAGGACACCAGAAATGCTTCACCTCCTCTTCTTACTTGACACTCTTGTCTTTTGACCTCATGCCAGCAGGGTGATACTCTGGGTCATGCTCTTCATTTAACCTTTTAAATTCTTAAAAGCCTCATGAATTAGCATTTAAATCACATATTAACATCCCTGCAAAGATATTCCTGAGCTGAATCAAAAATTCATTCGGTTTACATTTTGAGCAGATGTCTTTCTGTTCAAAGGTACTAAAAAGAGCATGCATCACATGTGTTTAATGACAGGATATATGGTGTTGGGTTATCATGAGGCTTGCAGCCGTTGGGCTGAAGCAGGTGTTGATAACTGCATATTGTGCCACATACATACATAAGGTTATTTGACATTAGCTGATGGGGGGGAAAATGTTTAGGGTTATTTAAGGTAAGTGTTAAAGGTTATAACAAAATGATCTGAGGAGTCGAGTGTGTGTGTATATATATATATATATATATATATATATATATATATATATATATATATATATATATATATATATATATATATATATATATATATATATACACACACTCGACTCCTCAGATCATAAGTATAATTCCAACCCTAATGGAAATTACTTCGACTTCTTAGATTCTTTCATAGATTTTAAAAAGAAGAAACAACATTTGTAATATTTATAATGACCACATACTGTGATTTAATATTCAGAGGGGAAAAGTGTCGTACAGTATCTGAAGTTTGAAACTAGCTAATATATAGACCATTGAAACAGACCTACTACTATTGTAGCTACTTAGATTTTAAACCTTTTATACTGCTCAGCTTCAGACAAAATGACACGCAAGCTTGAAACTAACATTTTTCACAGATTTTTTACATAGAAATTTTTAAAAATATAACTTTGCTAACCATAGCCACATCTCCTAAAAGTCTTTAAAATTGAATTAAGTTATATTAATCTGATTAACTTTTTTTAAAATACGTGATAAGAATAAACAGGGGCATATTGTGCCCATTTTAGGCTCCCTACAGTACACTGCTGCCTGTCCATCTTGGAATTAATTTTAACATATCACTCATTACTAATGGCATTACTAAGGCATTAAGCGATCATACAGGATTAGAAGTCTTATAATGA